GCCGCGGGGGGGCGTGGGCTGGAAGTGAGCGGACTCCTCCGGTCGTCCGCCCAGCTTGGCTGTCTGCGGCTCCCCACCACTCTGCAGTGGGCAGGAGCCTGCGGGATTAAGGAATGAATAATTGGAGGCAAACCCAGCTCAGGTGGAATGTCGAAGTGCAGAAAGTTATCGTTCTTGCCAAGGGAATGTTCACAGGGCTAATGACCTCTCACATCTGGGCTCCCTGTAACCCAGTTCTGCCAAGGTGCCCTTCATTTTGTTGACAGTATTTCTCTGTGAGATGTCAATTCATAGCCAGTGAACCTCTTTTCAGTTCCCCAGACCACCTGGTCTCCTCCTCATCTTTCAGGTCTCAGCTTAAACTGGAAAGACTTCCCTGACCACCCATCCTTCTCCGGTCGGTCCTTCCATCCGTCTCCTCGCCACCCAAGTTAGGTATTTCATAAACCTTCTCTAGCAGCGCTTAGCACACTTCATGGAAATTACTTTGCTGAGTGAGTAAGGTAATTAACTTTCCTCAATTAGGCTGTAGATTTGTTAAGGACAAGAACTACGTGAGACTTGCCCAAACTTTGAGTTTCTGACTTGAAGTGCCAGGCACATAATAGGTATTCTATAAATATTTGGCAATGAATGAATGAACAATACTTCTTAAGCCGTTTTTCCTTAGTTTCCCAGTTTTTCTGTCTTCCATGAAGCTTTTTTCTCCCCATGAAGCTTTTGACATTCCATACTGACTCCACCTTGATAGACCTGGCTTGTTTGATGATTGCTTGTTTTCCCTCATCTGCCTCCCCCCTTCTTTCATGAAACACACTCTTCCAAGAAACCATACTAGTGTTTCTAAAAGTTTGCAACTAGAAATGTGATGTCAATTAGGCAAACATATTCGTTTTCATGAGACTCCCTTTCCACTTAAACTGGATAGCCCATTCATTCATCCAACAAATATTTGAATGTACCCACCATATACCAGGCACTGTGCTGGATGAGATGCAATGTCTTTGTCATCAAGAGCTTCCATGTTAGCAGGGAAGACAGACACAGTTGTTATACAATGAATGCTTTCATCTTGATAAAGCAGTTCAGCATATTTTGCCAACATATATGGGGACCCAACTGGTTTAGCATACCAAGGCTTCTGGGAAAATGTTACCAATGGGTAGGAGTAACCTAGACAAGAAGGGAGGAGAGCTTTGCAAGCAGAGAGAATAGCATGTCCCACAGCCTTGAAGTAGGAAGGAGCATCTAAAGATGAGAAACAAGTGTGGTAAGAATGCAGAGAGCTTCAGATGAGATTGACAGGGAAGCCAGGAATCAATACTGACAGGATCTTTCAGCAAATGCAGGTTTTTAATTAAGGGGGCTGATGTCATCAGATTTGACTTTTAAAAGATCACTCTAGCTATAATTTGAAAAATGGATTAGAGAAGGATAATATTACTTCAATTTATTTAGAATCAGTTATTGAAGAGAGCTTATGTTTTCACAAAATATCCTTATGATTTCATCTGAAGATGTGTCCTCTACTTCTCTCTCCATTCTTCCTCTCAGGGTCTTTGCACACTCATGAATTCTTCCAGAACTAGGAGGAGACTTCATTTTGAAGGGGTCGCTTCCATTGTCCATTCTGAAGTCTTCTTCATATTGGATTGAAAGTTGCCTCTCTCTGCCTGCAATTAATTGTTCCTCATTTAACCTACCAGGCATGTATCCAATCTCTATTCTCTGTAAAACTCTTTATACATTTGAAGAAAACTATAAGATCTTCCTTTAAGCCTTCTTTTCTTTTCTCTTTTCAATATAGCCAATCCTTTCAATCACTGATCATCTTAGAACCTACACGCAATACTTTGTGTTTATCACTGAATCAAAACAATTGAAAAATTTTTATTGTAAAATGGAATACATTTAAAGTTAAAATAATTTTCCAGGTTTAGCTTACATTGGGATTTAAGGACTGTGTTACAAATGTTCACAGATTGTAATAAATCAGTTTGGCATAATTTTGAGCACAGAGTGGGTAACTGTCGATGTGAATTTGTGGCAAATTGATAATGACTCCCCAGAGAAATCAGGTCCAAATACCTGGGCACCAGTAAATGTTGCCTTATTTGGATAATGGGTGTCTTCTGGTGAGATTACATTAAGAATCTTGTGATGGAGAGATTCTCTTGTATTATCTGATTGGGCCCTAAATACAATCACAAATATCCCTATTGGAGGGAATCAGAAGGAGATGCTACACACACAAAAGAGAAGGCAATGTAACAATAGAGGCAGAGATTGGAGTGATGCATCCACCAGCCAAGGAATGCTGACAGCCATCAGATGCTGAAAGAGACAAGGAACAGATTTTCCCCTAGAGTTTCTGGAAGGAGCACAGACCTGCCAACACATTCATCACAACCTACTGAAACTGATGTTGGACTCCTGAACTCCAGAACTGGAAGAGAATAAATGCCTGTTTTTTAAGCCATTAAGTTTGTGATAATTTGCTGCAGAAGCCATAGGAAACTAACATGTAAGTCTACTGGGACTAAACACGTGTCCTATGTTAGCTTAAGCATTGAAAGAAATTCAGGCTAATTCTGGGATAGATTCTGTGCTCTTAAGAACTTACATCAGTCTTGGTGTCAACTATGACTGGTCTGTATAAACTTGATAGAGGATGCCAGAAAAAACTGGAACTCCAATTCTTTCATAGACGGGAGCTGCAAAAAAAGTGAATACTCCTCAGTGAGCAGGTAACTCAAGACAGAATCCCGATTGGTGAGGGCTGAGGCATGGTAGGCTGCAAAACCTTGGTAAGTAAGTGGTTCTATTATACTTCTATTTGCTAAAGGTAAGACCTAGCTGATATCCTTTTGTTTTCTCTTACTCTTCACGTCCAGTCCACTATCATGTCCAGTCAACTGTACCTCTGAAATAGATCTTGAATCCATCAGTTCTCCATCTCTACCACCCTAGTCCAACCCACAATCAACTTTTTCTTAGGCTACTACAATAGCCTTCTAAAATGTCTCTCTGACTCTACTTTTGCCCTATTACCCACTGCAATCTATTCTTCAAACAGTTGCCTGAGTCATTTCAGAAATAAACAAACAAACTTAAATTCCTTACCGTGACCTATTAAGTCCCCACATGATCAGGATGTTGTCTGACTTTCCACCTTCATGTTGTCTGACTTTCCACCTTCACGTCATCCCATCCTCTCCTCCTACTATGCTCCAGTCTTACCTGCTTCCATCCTGATCCTTTTAGAGGCTAGTCCTTACCTGTCTCCAGGCTCTTGTCTGGAGCAGAGAAATGTTTATTGCAGGACCAAGCAAGAAGAATGGGTGGCCTGTGCTCAGAAAACCCTGAACTCCTAGATGATTGGGGGGGTGGATATTTTACAGGTAAAATTTGGGGTGAGGGCTGCAGGGTGTGTGACTTTCTTCTGGTTGGTTGGTGGTGAGGTGACAGGGTGGTGCTCCAGGAATCTTGTGCTCAGCCTGAAGTTGCCATCCTCCACCTGTGTAGGGGCCTCAGTTCCTGCAGAAGAACTCAAGGATATTGCTATGTATATTCCTTCAGGAGGAACCGGGACCCTGTCCCATCCTGCAGTATTGTTTCTTGACTGCTCCTCCTCTGTTTCTGTATTCCCCCACTTCTCTGCTCTTTGGAACTCGGGGAAGGTCTAGGAGGCTGAAGCCTTTTTTCCGGCAAACAAGAAATGGGGGACATGGAAAGGATTTGTACCCAGGAGTGTCCCACAGGATCCTGCTTGGTTTCAATACTTTTATCATACTCCTAGCATTTATTTGTTTCCATGTTTATAAGCTCTGTGAGAACAGATACCTTGATGACTGGCACAGCCACCAGTCTGCAGGGCCGAGCACTGTATCTGGCACGTAATGGTCACTCAGTAAACATTTGTTGCATGAATTGAGGTAAGATCATATTTTGATATTTTAGCCTATGGGAATTTCCCCCTAGTATTTCCATGAGCCGCAAGGCATCCTATGTGCCAAGGAAAGACAGGGACGGCAGAACATAGTACAACAAAGATTTTAATTTTTAGATTTAGATTTTCAGCAACCCAGGCCACTAGTATTTAAAACTTAAAAAAATATATATGTATATATCAACAAACAGAGGCACTGCTTGACTAATAAGTACTAGCCAGGGAGAATTAGAGGGTAGGCAAAAGCGTTAGTTAGAAATTGGTGAGTATTCTGGTAGCAGAAACCGACCGTATGTTTCTCAAACATTCTAGCCCTTTCTGCCTTGCCTTCCTCTACTATAGAGATAAATAGAGGAACACTTGAATTCATAGTCTTTGAGTTACAATAGTTATGTTGCAACTATGAGGGTCAAAATCATGTACAAAAAATCCAGAGCAGCAAGTTAGAAGTAGTCTTGAGCAAATCCTAATCCTGAATTGCCTATCTCTAGACTTCTTATTGGAGAAGGTAAGTACCAAATTTATATGATCCACTGTAATACGGTTATCTATTATTTGCAGTCCAATATATTCATAATGATAGCATTTTAGATAGTTTTGGGGGCAGGGGAGAGTATAGCTCAGTGGTAGAGCATATGCTTAGCATGCATGAGGTCCTGGATTCAGTCCCCAGTACCTCCATTTAGTTTTTTTTCTTTTTTTGTAGGGGGTAAGTTAATTAGATCTACTTATTTAATTATTTTTTAAATGGAGGCACTGGGGATTGAACCCAAGACCTTGTGCATGCCGAACATGTGCTCTACCACTTGAGCTCTACCCTCCCCCACCCAGCACTTCCATTTAAAAAATAAATAAATAAACTAATTACCCCCCAAAAAAACCCTCAAAACTAAAACTAAATAGTTTTGAGGAATCTAAGATCAAAGGAAACAGATTTCTCCCTTCCTCAGCAAAGTCCAAGAAGGTAAGAAGCTTTGCAAAGTTCACCCATATCTAAGATGGACCAGGAGCTACAGAAGTGTCTGAATGGAGTATCTAGACAGAAAGCCTGAAATAAGCTTAGGGAGTTTCTGCAATGCCAATGTTAAGAGAGTCTTCAAATGGTTTCCTACAATCTACAGAGGAAAATTGATGATAAAGAGTTGTGCTTAGAGGCAGAGTGATCAACATCCCAGTTTGCCCAAGACTCTCCTGATACGAGCATTGAGATTCCCACATCCTGGGAAACCCTTCATTTCTGAACAATCTAAGATTGTTGGTCACCCCACCTGAAGAGACTATGCTACTGAGACAAGCAGGACACAGCAGCACTTGAGGGCCAAGTGGCTATGAGAGTGTGGATAGGTGACAGATGCCAGCATATTTGGATGATGATAACTGGGACCCACTGCCCAGCATCTTGGAAGTTCAGATGACCAATTCAATAATAATAGGTCCCTTCAAATATTGATACAACCTGGGCAAGATATGAAGGACAACGTGAATTGACTGAGATTACCCACATTGAGATTTAATTTCTATTATCTACTAGAGGTCAACCAATTAAGTTCAATTTTAGAAAAATTAAATTTCTAACTTGTGGACAAAGATATTTTACCCTCTATAGAATAAATACATGATCTGAACATTGAAGGATGACTAGGACTCAGCCACGCAGAGATAAATATTCAGATTTCAGGACATAGCATACCATTAAATAAGCACCAGGAATGAGACACACATGGAAGGAAATGGATGTAAAGATGTAAATAGCATCATACAGAACCTTGAAAATCATACTAGAAATTTTGGGGCTTTATCATAAAAACAATAAGAAGTCCTTTAGGACAGTGTGACACAAAGCATGGTCTGCAGACCGTCAGCCTCAGCTGGAAGCTTGTTAGAAACGCAGATTCTCAGATTTTCAGTCCTCACTCCCGCTTATCCCAACCCCCCACCCCACAATTAAATCAGAATTCCCAAGAACAGGATCCAGGAATCTGTGTTTTAACAAACCCTCCTTGCGATTCTTATACATGCTGAAGTTTGTAAAACACTGATTTAGGAGGCAAGAGTTAAGCAAATTGAGAGAGACG